TGGCAGGAGTTTGTTTTCCCCGTCCCCTGAGCTGCAGGTTGCTTGAATAATCCCTTATTTTATTTTTCCCCCCCCCTTTTATTGCTTTTTATTTCGCCATCTTTGCCCCCCTCAGCACAAAGTCCGTGTTCAGGTGAGAGGGGAGTTCCTGTCCCCCCACCAGGAACGGAGCCCAGGAGGTACCTCCAGGTGGAATCAGCCCACACCAAGAGCCTTCAAAAAGGAACGTGCACAGAAGCCACTCCTTTGCAGGCAAAAAGAGAACATCAAACGCTTCTGCTGCAAATGAGATAGTTTTTACTGCAAAAATAGGAATTATTGGTGTTCTCCAAGGGCTTTGCTGGGTTCGGCACCTGCCTGGTGCACTCCAGTTGAACGTTGGTGTGGCATCACCTGCTTTTTTGGTGAGGACCTTTGAAATATAGGAGCTATGTAGGAGTGAGGTGCTGGGGGGTTTCAGCTGGCATGGGGTGAAAAAAGAGAAGCTTAACCTGCCCCTAGTTGTTCCTTATACTGAAACGTGTTCCAGAGCAGGGCAGGAGGACTTCTGGCCTGCTCTGAAAGTCCTCTGGGGTTTGTGTTACCTTGGGTTATAGCAGAATGTCTTTGAAGAGGAGGCATTGACCAGAGGAAGCACAGGTAACTATTTGCATGGGGAGTGCAGGGGGAAGGCTAAAGAGTGGTGGCCAAAGGCCTTGAGATCCTGCTGGGCAACGTGGTAGGCTGATGGCTTGTCCTGTGTAGCTGTAGATGAGAACCCTCCCTAATTAACTGCTGTGAGGCTTTAGGGGTTCCTGCCATTTCCCCCTGCACTCAGCTGCACCTCGAATCCAGGGTTCAGGATTGGAATTGGGGGTTTCCAAGCCATGGAGATGTGGTGTGAGGGACACAGGGCAGTGGGGACCTGGTAGTGCTTGAACTCAATGACCTTAAAGGTCTCTTCCAACCAAAATGATGCTGTGATTCCAGCACGTGCCCCCAGGAGCTGAGATCTCAGCATGCCAGGTGGAAGGGAGAGCTGATAAGAAGCAAATCCTACTCCCTCAAAGCTCCTCAGGGGGTTCAGCTGGTGTCTCATGCAGGACCTGCTGCCTGGGGCCTGGCGTGGAGAGGGAGGCTGGTTGCTAAGGCACTGGGTGCTTTGGGAGGATAACAAGTTGCTGCTTCTCCTCTGCCAGCTCCCACTGCTCTTCCCAAGCACATCGACGCCCAACCCTTCAGATCATGAGCCCTTTGGGGAAGAGGAATCTGAATCTACCAGAAGCAGCAGAAGCAGCAGAGGGAGAAGTTTTATTTTAAAATATAAAGAGTTGGGGGAAAAAAACCACAGAGGCTGTAAAACCACCTTACCTCAGTGCTTAAGGGGTTGCTGACCTGAAGGAAGTGGTGGCTGTGGGCTGCTCACAGTGCTGTCTCTTCTTGGCTTCACAGTGCCTTCTCCTAGTGCCTTGCTGGTGGACAACCCCACGTCCTTCGGAAACGCGAAGGAGGTGGTCGCAATCAAAGACTACTGTCCGACCAACTTCACCACTCTGAAGTTCTCCAAGGGGGACCACCTCTACGTCTTGGACACATCAGGAGGGGAGTGGTGGTACGCCCACAACACCACGGAAATGGGCTACATCCCTTCCTCCTACGTCCAGCCCCTCGGCTACCGCAACTCCTCCCTGTCGGACAGCGGGGTGATTGACCACCTACTGGAGAGCCCTGACGAGGGGGTCAAGGAGCTGGACCTGCTCGGGGAGTGGGCTGATGTGAAGAGGAACTCCTCAAATGCCTACAACAACAACCCGTTCCTCAACGGAGTCCAGACCAACCCCTTCCTCAACGGGAGTTTGCAGCCGGTGCCCAGCTCGGACCAAGAGTCCAAGTCCACCGTTGACTTGCTGCTCTTCGACACGGGGGCTCCTGCTTCAGCTCTCTCCAGTTCCGCCGCCAATAGCAGCCTGGGGAACATTTTTGATGAGTTTCCATCCACGACCAGGCTGGATCTGGAACCCCCTGTGAGAAGGGACAACCCCTTCTTCAGAAGTAAACGTTCCTACAGTTTGTCTGAGCTGTCTGTTCTTCAGGCCAAGTCGGACGCCCCGGCGCCCTCGGGTTTCTTCAGCGGTTTGAAGTCTCCCACCCCTGAGCAGTTCCAGAGCCGGGAGGATTTTAGGACAGCGTGGCTGAACCACAGGAAGCTGGCTCGGTCTTGCCACGATTTGGATTTGCTGGGTCAAAATCCTGGCTGGGGTCAGACGCAGCCGGTGGAGACCAACATCGTCTGCAAGCTGGATAGCTCCGGCGGGGCCGTTCAGCTTCCGGACACCAACATCAGCATCCACGTGCCCGAGGGCCACGTGTGCCCCGGGGAGACGCAGCAGATCTCCATGAAAGCCATGCTGGACCCCCCGCTGGAGCTCAACAGCGACAAGTGCAGCACCATCAGCCCGGTCCTGCAGATCAAGCTCAGCAACATGGAGGTGAAAACCTCCATCACGCTGGAGATGAAGGTGTCGGCAGAGGTGAAGAACGACGTCGTGAGCCAGAGCCTGGTGGGGCTGCAGTGCCTGCGGAGCGACGTGAAGGAGGGGCCCTACGTGCCCGTGCAGCCCAGCTGCTCCTGCGGGGACACCCTCCAGGTGAGGCTGGAGAACCTGGAGCCCTGCATGTACGTCGCCGCCGTGGCCCAGGGGCAGAACATCCTCTACCCCTACACCGTGTGGGATTACATCAGCAAGAAGATCACGGTGGGCGTCTACGGCCCCAAACACATCCACCCTTCCTTCAAAACCGTGGTGGCCGTGTTCGGGCACGAGTGTGCCCCCAAGACCCTCCTGGTGAGCGAGGTCACCAGGCAGTCCCACAGCCCTGCTCCCGTCGCCCTCCAGCTCTGGGGCAAGCACCAGTTTGCCCTGTCCCGCCCTCAGGACCTCAAGCTCTGCATGTTCTCCAACATGACCAACTACGAGGTGAAAGCCAGCGAGCAGGCCAAGGTGGTGAGGGGCTTCCAGATGAAGCTGGGCAAGGTGAGCCGCCTCATCTTCCCCATTGCCTCCCACGACCCCAACGAGCTGTCGGACTTCACGCTGCGGGTGCAGGTGAAGGATGACAGGGATGCCATCCTCACCCAGTTCTGCGTCCAGACGCCACAGCCACCTCCAAAAAGCGCCATCAAACCCACGGGGCAGAGGAGGTTCCTCAAGAAGAACGAGGTGGGGAAGATCATCCTCTCCCCTCTGGCCGCCACCGCCAAGTACCCGGTTTTTCAGGACAGGCCAGTGCTGAGCTTGAAGTATGGCAAGCTGCTGAAGACGGTGGTGAGGCAGTGCAAGAACCACTACTTGCTGGAGTACAAGAAAGGAGATGTCATAGCCCTCCTCAGTGAGGAGAAGATCAGGTTGAAAGGGCAGCTGTGGACCAAGGAGTGGTACATTGGCTACTACCAGGGCAAAATCGGCCTCGTACACACCAAAAACGTGCTGGTGGTTGGGAAGGTCAAGCCCAGCTACTTCTCCGGGCCGGATCTCACCACCAGCCTGTTGCTGGAGCAGATCCTGAGGCCCTGCAAGTTCCTGACCTACATCTACGCCTCGGTGAGGACTCTGCTCATGGAGAACCTCAGCAGCTGGCGGTCCTTCGCCGACGCTCTGGGCTACCTGAACTTGCCACTCACCTTCTTCTGCCGGGCGGAGCTGGACAGCGAGCCCGAGCGAGTGGCCTCTGTCCTGGAGAAGCTGAAGGAAGACTGCAACAACACCGAGAGCAAGGAGAGGAAGTCCTTCCAGAAGGAGCTGATGACGGTGAGTCTGAGGTCTGCAGGGGGACTCCTCGTTCCCTCCCCAGCGGAGCCACGGGGGTGAACGGGAGGTGGGTGTTTCCTGATCCAGTCTGTGGAGAAGGAAGTCCATCTGCAGGCTGCTGGTCACAGCCAGGTGGAAGCCCAGCCCTGGGGCTGTACGTGTTGGTGGGAATCCCTGGTGTGGTGGCTGTAGAGGAGGGATGTGGTGGGTGATGTGCCACGGGTGTGAGGGCAGCCAGGGGGCTCGCCTTGGCAGCTCATCTGAAATCCTGCAAGGTCCAGCTGGTTTTGGTCCAGGGTTGTCACAGCCCTCAGCTGGGCCCTGCTGCTGGGTGTTGCAGCCTTTGGTGGCACGTGGTTTGAGGAGTTACCCCAGAGCTGCAGGTCTCCTCAGCCCCAGTGTCAGAGCATGCCTTGTGTGGTACCACCAGCTGGCTGAGGGGCTGCTCTGTGCCCTCACCCAGGTCACTGGTGAGCATGCTGAACATGACTGGACCCAGTCCTGACCCTGGGGAACACCACGAGCTACAGACCTCCAACCAGCCCCTGCCCCACTGATCACAACCCTCTGAGCTCTGAGTCCACCTCAGTGTCCACTCACCCAACCCACCCCTCCTGAGTGTACCCACAAGGAGGTTATGGGAGGCAGGGTCAAAAGCATGACTTGCTCCTGTCCTGGAGGCACCCGGGGAAGTGCTGCCTGCAGGTGTCCCTGGGATGCCCTTGGGTCATCTCTGACAGGAACCATCTTCACCATCATTCCCAGCACTTTGTAGGACGTGAGCCAAGGAGAATCCAGGACGTGATGTCTGGAGGAGATGTGAAGCTCTCTGCTCCTGACAGGCTGTCCTGCAGAAGCAGGAGAACCCTGTGATCTGCTGTCCACCATGCCAACTGAATCAAGGGATGGTGGCAGCTATGGTGGGCACGGCAGCAGGGGTGAAGGGGGATGGAGCCCAACGAAGTCTTTCATGCCCCAGTCTCTCTTGAAGAAGGAGTGGGAAATTTGAGGGTCCAGTTTGAGGTGTAAGGAGTCAGGAAGAGTATGGAGACCTTGGTTACTCGTGGAAATACTGCCCAGGGAGTTCCTGGTGCCTGGGGACCACTTCAGGGCAGTGCTTTGGCTGGGACTGGCAGCTGCCAGGTCATGCCACCAGCACTGCTTGTGTTGAGGGATTCTTCTGGCCATTGGTGGTCTCTCCTTCCTGGGGCCATCCAGGGAAGCAGAATAGATGCTGTGGTAGGCACAGCTGGGGCCTGGCCCCGTGGCTCCCCAGGGAGGAGGGGTTGCTCCTTGAATCATTAGCCACGGTGAACAATGAGGTGAAACCCAAGCTCCTCTTGCCTGCTGCTTCCAAGGGCCTGTGCTGTTTGCCTTCACCACTTCCCAACCCTCTGAGCATTTCTTTTATCTCCTCCTTTTGTCTCCAGGGGCCCAGGTAGTCTGTAGGTCCTGGAAAATCCATCCCAGACCTCGGTGGGGAGACAAAGGGACTGATAAGGCTCTCTTGGGTGCTCAGGGAGGAGATAGCTCAAGGGGAGGGACATAAAGGATGAGCTCCCTTCCTGGTGGGAGGTGGTGCTGCTCCTGAACCCCTGGTGCTGCTCCTGAACCCCTGGTGCTGCTCCTGAACCCCTGGGGCTGCTCCTGAACCTCTAAACCCCTGGTGCTGCCTCTAAACCCCTGGTGCTGCCTCTAAACCCATGCTGCTTCTAAACCCTCCTTAGCTGATGGAGAAATTAGATTGAGCCTGTTTTCTCTCTGGAAAAAAAACCCTGTGTTTCAGAGGATGAGAGAGGAGCAGTGATGTATTTTATTGTGTTTAAATCTGATTTATTTGGAACAAATGGACTGGCCTCCTGGCGTTCATCCTGTTGGGGGGAGCACGTGTCTGCTGGGAATGCCCCTGGGCACGTCAGCTGAGTGCTGTGGAAACTCTGAGCTCTGTCTTCTCCAGGCTAAAGGTCATGCAGAAGATGATGTTGGGGTTGCCACCCCCCCTCCATGGTGTTCTGTTCTGACTGCAGGTTATCTGCCTGCTGCCTCTCTGGTGGTGCAGACCCCACAGAGCTGCTGGTGGGCACGAGATGTCCTTAATGTCCTTGCAGAGCAGCCTGTCCACGGCTTGGACCTTGTGGTGGCACACCCAGAGCTGGGCAGCCCGAGGCTGTGCATGCTGCTCCTCCAGCCTGAGTCCCTCTGCTGCAAAAGGAGACTCCTGCCTCCCCTCTGCCCTGCTGGGCACAGAGCCTGGAGACTGCTCCCCCAGGGAACCCTGCTGAGCTTGATGGGCCTGGGGATTTAGGGCCTGATTGTCCTTGCAGAGCCAACAGGATGCCTGCATCCTAAATGCTGCTTAGGACAACCCCAAACGTGACTTTAAAAAGTCCTTTTCTGCAGCAGCTTCCTCGTGGAGGTTGGTTTTGTACCTTTTTGCAGGTTCCTTGCACCACGCTTGGTGGGTCCATGTGAAGCTGGTGATGCTGCTGGGGGCAAGGAGGAGAGGTTTACTCCTTTGGTTGGGGTGAAGGTAGGGAGGGAAGAAGCACCCCCAGCTCACAGAGCCCCCGAGGGGCACGTGGGGGCCAGGGCTGGGGGCACGTGGACCACGAGGCCACGGGCAACTGCTGCTGCTCTTTGGGGCTTGTTTTCTTCTGGCTGCTGGTTTCCACCCTCGGAGGCTGGGAGGTGGGTTGTGCATTTTGGGGCCGGGATGCAAAGTGAGCCCCCCCTGGGTGCCTCTCCAGCAGAGGCTCCTCTGGGGGGCCTGGAGCCGGGTGGGAATCTCAAAGCACCTCCCGAGGAGGTGCCCTGGGGGGGGCTGGCAGGGCCCAGCCCCGGGCACACGTGGGCACCACGGGCTGGCTGGAGCCACGGAGGGTGCCCCCAGCTCCCAAGGAGGCTCGTGCAGGGCGAGGGAGGAGGAGGAGGAGGAGGAAGTTGTGGTGTAATCCCAAAAGCGCCTGCTGGAGGATTAAGTTTGTGAGCCCTGTTAATCCCAGCCAGGCCAGCAGGGCTTCCCCCAGAGCCCCTCGTGTGACAGAGGGAGCCACTTGTGCCCAGGCCAAAAGAAGTGCTGCTCTTAGGACTCATATTCCCCCTTCAGCTCCAACCCTGGTGGCCACGTGCCTTTCTCACAGCCCATCCCCACCTGGCTTTGGTGCTGTCCCCATCTCCCATCACCTCTGCCCGTGCTCCTGCTTTTCCCCAGCCTGTCATTTGCATATTAAACCTCCCCAGCTCGAAACACAGGGGGCACAAAGCACGGGAAAAGGTGGTTCTGTGGCCGTCAGTAGGTGTCATGTGGCCGTCAGTAGGTTTCAGGGTTAACGTGCTGCGCTGCAGGGAGCAATCCAGCTCTTCCAAAGCTGTTGCTCTGGGGGATTATACAGTTCTTGATTACGTGGCCTCCCAGCTGCTTTGGTTGATGCTGTTTTCTTGTTGACTTGGGGCAGCAGGAGGGGCAGGGGAACGGGAGGAAGAGGAGAATCCATCTCCTGCAGCTCTCTCCTCCCGCACCCCTGGGGCACACCTTGCTCCAGGGGCCTCCTCTGCTGCCCTGGACCTGCTCAGCCCCGGGGCCAGGGAGGAGAGCAGCTCGTCTGGGCTGCTTGGCTGGCTTGGTTTGGGGTTGGCACCCTCCTTGAAGGGCCGGGTTGGGGGTGCCTGGCTGGGGCTGCCGGGCGAGGACCGGCCGCACTCCACCCGCAGAGGGGGGTGAGGCTGGTGCTGGGGGTTGCTGCAGAGGTTGTGGCACAGGTGTGAGATGTAAATGCTTCTCAGTGGCCTTTTTTTTAAGGAAAATAATGCTCTTTTCAATGGCTTTTCCTGGCTGGCCTGACAGGAGGGTTTGTTCCTGCTCCCCAGGGCCGGAAGGAGCGAAGCCCTTCGGAGGAGCAAACAAAAGCTGCAGCTGGAATTAGATGGAGCCCAGCTTAAAAGTGGAAACAGATAAGGGAAAAATCAACATGCATTTGGTTTGCAAATGGCTGGAGTGGTTTCAGATGTTCCCATCTTCCCCCAGCTGTCCCCGTGTGAGGATTTAACCCTTCTGCTGCCCCAGAGCCAGACTGGCTGGGGTTTGTGCCAGGAGAAGACATCAGGACCCACGGCAGCAGAAGCTGGGAGGTGTCAGGGTGCCCAGAGAGGTGGTTGATGTCCCTGCAAACACCCAAGGTCACGTTGCCCAGGGCTCTGAGCACCCTGCTCTAGCTGGGGATGTCCCTGCTCCCTGCAGGAGGTTGGACTGGATGGCCTTGAGAGGTCCCTTCCCACCCAGACCAGTCTGGGATTCTGACCATGCTGGGACCACCACATCCACAGTTCCTGTAATAACCAGCCCTGTGCTGTTGTGAAGGTGTGGGGGATGTTCCTGATGGGTAGACACGTCCCAGAGTGTTCTTTGGGTGCTTGCTGGTGTTCTGCATCTCTCTGGGCCATCTCCTGCACCCCTGAGCTGTGGTTTGCTCTTACTGAAGTGGCACAGCCTGTTGACACACTGACCTCTTGGTGTGCACCCATCCTGGGGCCACCATCCTGAGTCTGCTGGTCCCACTGGCTGTAGGAAGACAAGAGGCTTCTCAGAAAGCCAGCACCCAGTCTTAGTCTGGGGTCTGTTTGCCACGTTTTATGAGGGGAGTGCCTGTTTTGTGGTATAAACCACCCTTCTGTAGCCCCTTGGGGCTCGAGGAGGGATTTGTCCAGGACTGGGGTTGCTGCTGTGGTCCATGGGCTTTGGAGGAGGATGGGGCAGCCCTGGCGAGTGGGATGTTGATGCTCTCGGTCAGATCCTGTCCTCTGATAACTTCTTGCCTTGGGTTTTCCCTTTCTTGCAAGTTGTTTCCCACTTGGAGCAGAGGTTGCTGTGATGTGGTACCACCCAAAGGCAGGAGCTCACCCTGCCCTGGCACTTTTCTCCTGGCTCAGTTACTGCTGGCCAGAAAAGGGTGCCTGCTGCAGTTCCCCTTCCCCAGCTCTTCAAACCCTTTGTGGGAAGTCTCAGCTTCTGGATCACTAAATGGCACAGAAGGAGGTGGTGCCTGAGCTGGCACTGGAGGGCAGAGGGGTGGTGAGAAGAGCAGGAACATCCCAAGCTGAGGGATGGCTCCTGAGGTGCTGCCAGGGTTTCACCCCAGCCCATCTCCTCCTGAGGCTGATCTGTCCATGTTTTGCCCCAAAATGCTCTGCTTGGCCCACACCCTCTGGTCTGTGCTGGAGGATGGTGCTGCTGTGGGCACGAGGAGGACCATGCTGGATGACCTTCAGTCAGTTCTTCTCAGCCCCTGGGAGGCCTTAAACTGCTTATGGTGGCACCCGAGCATCTGGAGGGGTTGGCTGGGCCAGGAGGCCGCGTTGGGCTCTCTGCAGAGGAGCAGGGCACTTTGTTTAATGAATGAGATTACTCCCCTTGAGCCTGGCGGCCTCATTCCACCGGCTGCCACCGCAGGGGCTGGGGAGGACTTTTGGGGTGGCTGCTCCAGGGCCTTCCCTGCTGTCCTGGTTCCGTGTAAAAAGGGGTTCAGGGCAGGCCCCACACGGAACAGAACTGTGTACTCGCCTCTCCCCCACCCCTTCGAGAGAGAGAGAGAGAGAGACACTTTTTAAAAAGATGAAGTATATTGTTCAACAAGGAACAGAAAACGAAAAAGGGGGGTAAGGAAAATAATATATATAAAGATCAGGGGAATAATACAAAAGATAAAATATACAAAACCCTCAGAAATGGTTCCAGGGTCCCACGGAGTGAAAGGAGAACTTTCCTCTCCGAGCTCCAAGGCAGGAGTGAAACAAAAAACCACTCCCTGCCTCTTATCAGAGTGTGTGTGGGAAGGGGAGGGAATACAATGGTTGCACCCCCACCCGGGGTCCTCCCAGTTGCTGGAAGGTCACGCCCCCATTCCAAGCCTCAAACCACAACACCTGCGCAGTGCCCTGCTCGCCCTGACTCTCCTGCTCGGTCGTGTGTCCCCCCCTGTGCCTCCAGGCCCTGCTGAAGATGGACTGCCAGGGCCTGGTGGTGCGGCTCCTCCAGGACTTCGTGCTGCTGACCACGGCGGTGGAGGTGGCCCAGCGCTGGCGGGAGCTGGCCGAGCGGCTGGCCAAGGTCTCCAGGCAGCAGATGGAGGCCTACGAGGCCCCGCACCGCGACAAGGCCGGCACGGTGGACAGCGAGGTGAGGGGACG